GTGGGGGGAAAGGTCGTGGGTAAGCTGCTTGTGGGGGGGGGGGAGATGGTTGTGGGGAATATAGTGTGGTGAGGTAGTGGGGTTTTAATTTTGGCCAGAAGAGCGAATTTATTTGTCTTCTTGAGGTTATCTTGAGATGATTTCGGGGCTTTAGTGTCCCGGTCCTCGACCAGGCCTCCACCCCCAGGAAGCAGCCCGTGACAGCTGACTAACACCCAGGTACCTATTTACTGCTAGGTAACAGGGGCATTCAGAGTGAAAGAAACTTTGCCCATTTGTTTCTGCCTCGTGCGGGAATCGAACCCGCGCCACAGAATTACGAGTCCTGCGCGCTATCCACCAGGCTACGAGGCCCCCTGTCAGCGTGAAAGTAAACACCCCGCCCTCAGCTGCACGTGCAACAGCCCTCAACAGGAAGACTGCCCCGCTGGGGTGTTCATCCTGTCACTTGCACCCAGACGCAGCTTAACTGGTTTAAGCGAACATCTCAAGAAACAAGGAGATCCCCCCACCTCTAAACCTTCCAACTTTCGTTATCTCGCGAGCTCACAGTCACGATTTGTTTATTTTTTTAAACGATATCTGTATTCTGAGAAATATAGTGTTTTCCGTGACTTGAAGAATCTGAGTGAGCCAGGTTGCTGGCCATCTTGTCCCGTGGGCCACGGCGGCACCTTAGGGGTCACTATACCATCCTGAATCACCAAGGGGGAGTTGTAGCTAAGACGAATTCTGGCTCTTGAAGATTCACTTGTGAGAGAATCTTGTGAGAGGTTATGAGACCTAGTTCCATTAGCTTAACTCTCTTAGGTTAGATCTTCTTGCATAGCTTATGTTGTTGTTATAGATTCAGCTACTCGGGACAAGTTCCAAGTAGCACGGGCTATGGTGAGCCCGTAACTTACCTGGCACAGGAGCGAGGTAAGTAGCGCGGGCTATGGTGAGCCCGTAGTAGACTTACCTGGCACAGGAACGGGGCTGTAACTGGATATATGGCTCTCTGTCTTGTACGTCAGTCTTGTAGGGTAAGAGTGAGGTGGTGTGGGGTTTGGTGTAGGGTGGGTGGGTAGGTGGGTGGGGTGGGAGGTTTGAAGGTTGAGTAAGGTGGGGTGGGGAGGGGTTGTGTGGGGTGGGGTTGTGTGGGGTGGGGTTGGTGAACTGGACACCGGCGGGTGTTGCCAACAGGTCTTCAATGGATCTCGTATTTCAGCTGGCCATGTGGCGCGCGAGATCAGCCGCCACAACCTCACCTAACCAATGTTTACACTCGCAACCCCTCAAACCCGGGACAGACTTCCAGTGGACAAGTATATTCGGGGAGTGGGGTCGGTGTGAGGGATCAGGTGAGGTGTGAGGAGGTCGTGAGGAAGACTGCTGTTGATAATGTGTTGTATATTTTAATGTGACAGGAACTGACTCCGCCACATCTCTCTCTCTCCTCTCTCTCCCTCTCTCTCTCTCTTCTATCTCTCTCTCTCTCTCTCGCTCTCTATTCTCTCTCTCTCTCTCTCTCTCTCTCTATCTCTCTCCTCTCTCTCTCTCTCTCTCTCTCTATCTCTCTCTCTCTCTCTCTCTCTCTCTCTCTCTCTCTCTCTCTATATCTCTCTCCTTCTCCTTATTCTCTCTCTCTCTCTCTCTCTCTCTCTCTCTCTCTCTCTCTCTCTCCCTCTCTCTCTCTCTCTCTCTCTGTCTCTCTCTCTCTCTCTCTCTCTCTCTCTCTTTCTCTCTCTCTCTCCTCTCTCTCTAATCTCTCTCTCTCTCTCTCTCTATCTCTCTCTCTCTCTTTCTCTCTCTCTCTCTCTCTCTCTCTCTCTCTCTCTCTCTTCTCTCTCTCTTCTCTTTCTATCTCTCTCTCTCTCTCTCTCTCTCTCTCTCTCTCTCTCTCTCTCTCTCTCTCTCTCTCTCTCTCTCTCTCTCTCTCTCTCTCTCTAACCCATATACATCTCTCTTTATTCCCTTTATGTCCTCTTTAATCCCTGTATCTCCTCTTAAATAGAGTTTCTCCTCTTAAACTCTTAAAACTCTTCAATCTCGACAGCTCTTTCACCTTGATCGGTGTGATGTTTTAGGTCGATTCCCGCCGGTAATATATCGATCGTTATTTAGGTCATATTTTAAGCAATATACTTATTAATGTTTTATTTATATTTAAATAATTATAAATAGTTTTACTATATGATCAATTTAAAATTTATATACAAATATATATTTATAATTTTGAAATATACAGGATGGCCCAAATGTTACTTCATCGTAATATTATTTTAATGACACAATCAAAATTAAACATTTAAATTTGAAAAAAATAACAAAATAAATAAAAACGCATATTAGACTCATTTTTTATTTTTATCATTTTACGTATTTTCATTAATTTTGTTATGGATTTCACATTTAATTTTTTACATATGATTGTCTTAATACAATAATATGGTCCAAATGAAATTTGGGCCAACTTTACAGTTACGGTTTTGTTATGAAGGTGGTGGAGGCCAAAACCGTCAGTATAGTACGTTTTAATTCGTTACACGACAAAGAGTACTGGGAACACGGGACACCACGAGCGTAGCTCTCATCCTGTAACTACACTTAGGTAATTACACACATACACACATTCCCAGGATGGAGCCCGTGGTAGCTGTTTAACTCCCAGGTGCCTGTTAACTGTTAGGTGAACAGGGGATCAGGTGAAATCAACTCTGACCCGTTTGTTTCTGCTTCAGCCAGAAATCGAACCCGGGGCTCTTAAAGGACTTCGATTCAAGAGCGCTGTCCGCTCCTCCGGCAGGATCTGTGTGTATGTGTCTCAGTGTGTCTCTGGGTCAGAGTTTATATGTGTATGAGTATGTATATTTATATATATATGTCTGAGCGTGTGTGCGAGGTGTCTGTCTGTCAAGCTGACGTATTTCCGCTAGGCTTCCTCCCTCGTGTGGCCAGCCTTTCCCGGGTAAAAGTTGACGGACCCGTCTCTTCGTATCCCACCTGATGGCGCCCTGATCTCTGCCGGCTCCAACACCTGTCAAATAACCCCGTCTCACAACACCTGCAAATGCCTCTCACAACACCTGTTAATACCTCTCATAACATCTAATCTACCCCATTGATCAACCACCCATTCTACTAAAAAAAAAAGACCCGTTGAAGGATTTTGACAGCAATCCAAATATTTGACTCAACTTTAGCCCTTGTGAACACAAATGTTGTTAAGAGGTATTTACGTTTAGTGGTTTATTATGCACCCCATACCTCCCCCTGGCGGTGCGTGGTTATAGAGGCACATATAATGGGGGAGTGGGGGGAGGAGGGGGTTAGGAACTGATACCCCCATAGTTTAGTCATCTAAGCCAGTCATCACGCGATATCATAACCTGTTATGGGTTATGGTTGATAACGTCGCCGTGTAAAGAGAGGCACTTCAGCAGGCCTCATAGACTTCTTCGTTGGTTGCTAAGGATATCATTAGTTTTTGTTTTGGGGGGATTGGGGGGAGATTGGGGGGTCTTAAACTATGTGAATCAGTCGGCCTCCACCTCCACCACCCACGTACATAATCCACACCCCTCTTAGAGTTTACCTGAGAGCCACTAACACTAGTGACCTCGATGGGGACAGGAAGCCGGCGGCTTGTCGAAGGTCCCCTCCCTCCTATTTCATTTGATACTCTTTTCCAACTGTACTTTAAAACGTTAACAGAGTTTTCGGTATTTACATCTTCGGCGGGTAGGCGGTTCCTTGAGTTAATAACCCTGTGGGTGGAAAAAGTATCCCAGCCCCCTGTTCTCAGGGGATACATTACAGTCCTTACCCCTTACCCACCACCACCTCCCCCTTAGACCATCAATACTACCACCCCCCTTCTTACACCCCACCTGCAACACCTCCACACCCACCCACACACACACACACACACACACACACACACACACACACACACACACACACACACACACACACACACACACACACACACACACACACACACACTCTACTAAATTCTACTAAATTTTGGCGGACGATGCCAAAATTATGAGAAGGATTAAGACAGAAGAGGACTGTTTGAGGCTTCAAGAAGACCTAGACAAGCTGAAGGAATGGTCGAACAAATGGTTGTTAAGAGTTTAACCCAACCAAATGAAGATAGGTGTAGGGAGCAGGAGGCCAAATACAAGGTATCATCTGGGAGAGGAAATTCTTCAGGAGTCAGAGAAAGAAAAAGACTTGGGAGTTGATATCACGCCAGACCTGTCTCCTGCAGCACATATCAAGAGGATAACTTCAGCGGCATATGCCAGGCTGGCCAACATACGAACGGCATTCAGAAATTTGTGTAAAGAATCATTCAGAACTTTGTATACCACATATGTCAGGCCAATCTTGGAGTATGCAGCCCCAGCATGGAGTCCATATCTAGTCAAGGATAAGACTAAACTGGAAAAGGTTCAAAGATTTGCCACCAGACTAGTACCCGAGCTGAGAGGTATGTGCTACGGGGAGAGACTACGGGAATTAAACCTCATTTCGCTGGAAGACAGAAGAGTTAGGGGGGACATGATCACCACATTCAAGATTCTCAAGGGAATTGATAGGGTAGATAAAGACAGGCTATTTAACACAAGGGGCACACGCACTAGGGGACACAGGTGGAAACTGAGCGCCCAAATGAGCCTCAGAGATATTAGAAAGAACTTTTTTAGTGTCAGAGTGGTTGACAAATGGAATGTATTAGGAAGTGATGTGGTGGAGGCTGACTCCATACACAGTTTCAAGTGTAGATATGATAGAGCCCAATAGGCTCAGGAACCTGTACACCTGTTGATTGACGGTTGAGAGGCGGGACCAAAGAGCCAGAGCTCAACCCCCGCAAGCACAACTAGGTGAGTACACACCTACACCACCCAAGACCAAGGGGTGGGGGGGGTGAGAGGGAGGGGGAGGAGAAGGAGATCGGGGCATAGGTCACGTGACCAGCAGGGGGGGGGGGGTGAGGGTATATATACGAGGGCAGGCGGGCACCGGCGCCCCAGTAAGCCCTACCCTTACCTACTGTCGACCACACTCGCACACTCCTCAACATGGTGAGTACAGGGCTGTTACCGGTGGTAGTTACCGGTGGCTGAGTGATAGTGGTAGTTTGTTCCGGGTAGAAGGATGTCGTGGTTGTTCAATTAGTACTGATTGCTCGGGGGTGGTTGTTCCTGGTAGTTGGTACCGGTAATTAGGGGGGGTGGTTGTTCCTGGTAGTTGGAGATAACTATTCTTCCTGGTGTCTGGAACTGGTAGCACGGGGTAGTGGCACATACATATGGGAATTAAACCTCACGTCGCTGGAAGACAGAAGAGTTAGTGGGGACATGATCACCACATACAAGATTCTCAAAGGAATTGATAGGGTAGATAAAGACAGGCTATTTAACACAAGGGGCAGACGCACTAGGGGACACAGGTGGAAATTGAGTGCCCAAATGAGCCATAGAGACATTAGAAAGAACTTTTTTCAGTGTCAGAGTGCTTGACAAATGGAATGCATTAGGAAGTGATGTGGTGGAGGCTGACTCAATACACAGTTTCAAATGTAGATATGATAGAGCCCAATAGGCTCAGGAACCTGTACACCTGTTGATTGACAGTTGAGAGGCGGGACCAAAGAGCCAGAGCTCAACCCCCGCAAACACAACTAGGTGAGTACACACACACACACACACACACACGGACGCGAGGACACAGGAGGAAGCAGACAACACATATGCCTCAGAGACACAGAAAATACACATATGTGGTGAGAAGTGCAAACAAATCGAATAAACCTGCGGAGGAGGCGATGGAAGAACAGGTGTGAGAGAACACAAGAACACATCGTGCTGAACACGTGCACCAGGAGTCAGCTCGCACGCCTTGTAGCTGCCTAGGTAAGCACATGTAGGTATGCACACGTACACAGTGGTGCCAAACATCCAGAGACTGACAGCCGGAGGTCAAACTATTTATCCGTGATTAAAACCCGCGGCTATTCTGGCCTCTGACGACCCTCTGTACTGGTGTTGGGGTATTGGTGGTGATGTTCTCCTTCGCTAAATGACTGTTCAACCCAGCTCGCTCTGTGACCTTGATGGCTGTGAACTTCATTACCCTTCCAGTGCTACTGCCACACTGTTCTTTACCCGGTATGAACACATTAATACCGGTATCTATATGCAATGTTACACCATGCAAGTCGAACTAATGATGAAATAACGTTCAATAGTTATGTGTCTGTAAGCCGGTCGGCCGAGCGGTCAGTACGCTGGACTTGTGGTCCCGGGTTCGATCCCGGGCGCCGGCGAGAAACAATGGGCGGAGTTTCTTTCACCCTATGCCCCTGTTACCTAGCAGTAAAATAAGTACTTGGGTGTTAGTCAGCTGTCACGGGCTGCTTCCTGGGGGTGGAGGCCTGGTCGAGGACCGAGCCGCGGGGATACTAAAAAGCCCCGAAATCGTCTCAAGATAACCTCAAGATAGAAGAAGCCCACTGTTTGAGACTGTGGGGAGATGTCAGGCCTACTTAGTCAGACTATTCTTGGTAGACCCCCTCAGTCCCACCGACCAATGGAAAGCTCACAATGGATGATTCCCCTCAGTTAGACTGCCCTTGTAGACATGAGAACGTTAGAATTAAAGAAACTGCAGAAAGGCCTATTGACCCATAAGAAGCAGCCCCTCTTTATATCCAACTAAGATTATTAATAATATAAGTCTAACCTAGTGTTGAAACAATCAAGTGATCACCTTTCCATTGTGTTTCCCCGGCAATCTGTTCCACACATCTATGACCATGTAACCAAACCAGTATTTGCCCAGGTCTTTCCTAAATCTTAACTTATCCAATATTTGTCCACTGTTTCGTGTTACATTATGTGTTGATATATGTAATACCCTATTATTACCACCTACGTTGTGCCGTTTCATTCACATATACACTTCAGTTATGTCACGCCAAACTCTTCGTCATGTAGCTTCGAAGTCTGCTGACCGTGGCAGACTTAAAAGATTCCCTCCCACTAGGCAAACACTTTATGCTGTTCCCCCAAGAAAACTTTCATGATTATTATCCTCCAGGTAAACGTCTGCAGATAGATTCCTTGGATAAGCTTCCCCAGGTAGACTCTCATAAGGTAGGCTTCAGGAAGTAGTCTACCACTAGCAGACGCCCCGCGGTAACCTTATGATATATTTCCCCCCAAGGTAAACTCTTCCATGCATATGCCTCCAGGTAGATGTTTCTATTTAGATTGACTCCCCGGAGTGCACTCGTGAGGTAGCTGTCTCCAGGGACTTACTGTAGGTAGATACCAATGATCGACCGCCCTAGCAACACCCGGCGCAGCGGCCCAGCCCCAGAAGAGCTTGGTCGTCCCACACGAAGGGAGGTGGGTGGTGTTATCAGCGAGGTTGACTTAATACGGGATCAGGTCTGGCCCAGCGACCGTGAGACAACCTCCCCCCCACCCAACACCCCGCGCCTCTTACCCTCCCTCCACCAATACACAACCCTCCCCCCACCCCACTTTTGCAACTTTCTGCAAAACTCGTCCACACCACAAACCCCTCTCTTACCCCACAACTGCTGCGCCAACATCAGCAACACTCAGGGTAGACAGCGATAGCTATACAAGTGCTTGGGCAACTGGCATCGACATGACAGAAAACAATGACAAATTTTATTGAAAAACCACTTCTTATAGCGATGCTATACCACTGACAGATGTAACCAAAGCTCTGTTCCATAGTCTGTGGAACAGGGCAGCGCTAGAGTCTCACAGACTCACGCCTGATCTCACGTAATTCTGGAACGAGTCTCGGTGGATACATTTGTACTTTTTCTAGTTTCATCGTGAAATTGGGGACCCAAGACTGGGATGCTCACTGGGTTCCAGTCGACCTCTGCCTATTATCAATTCCAGTTGACTCAAAGCGCTCGAGTGGTAGAAACTCGACGCTGCCTCAGAGAAGCGTCCCTGCTGGCCCTCCAGAGATGGGACTAGGGGGAACGGGGTTGTTAGTTTGGGACTCTGGAAATTGCCGAACTAGACTGTTTCTAGTCTAGTTCTAGACCAGTCGAAGGTCGAGACGCTGGCAGGCCCGCCCACCTGAGGTCAGTAGGCTGACACCGAGGCCAGTAGGCTGACACCGAGGTCAGTAGGCTGACACCGAGGTCAGTAGGCTGACACCGAGGTCAGTAGGCTGACACCGAGGTCAGTAGGCTGACACCGAGGTCAGTAGGCTGACACCGAGGTCAGTAGGCTGACACCGAGGTCAGTAGGCTGACACCGAGGTCAGTAGGCTGACACCGAGGTCAGTAGGCTGACACCGAGGTCAGTAGGCTGACACCGAGGTCAGTAGGCTGACACCGAGGTCAGTAGGCTGACACCGAGGCCAGTAGGCTGACACCGAGGTCAGTAGGCTGACACCGAGGTCAGTAGGCTGACACCGAGGTCAGTAGGCTGACACCGAGGTCAGTAGGCTGACACCGAGGTCAGTAGGCTGACACCGAGGTCAGTAGGCTGACACCGAGGTCAGTAGGCTGACACCGAGGTCAGTTGGCTGACACCGAGGTCAGTTGGCTGACACCGAGGTGGACAAGGCTGGCAAGCGGTCAGTCAACAAGGTATAAAAGCTCGCAGCCTTTTAGTCACGTCGTGGTCAATGAGTCCCTGGTAATGGCCAGCAGTAAATATGTCAAGCAGGCAGAGAGTGGGGTAGTTAAACCGGCAGACAAGCAGCCAAGTAGTTTAGTCGGCAGACGAGTAGTCGGATAGTTAGCCGGCAGATAAATAGTTGTTAGATAAGAAAGATATTACCTAACAAGTAAACAGCCAGACAATTAAAAAAGCAGAAAGGCCTTTTTTGGTCAGCAGGTTGACAGACAGTTAAGCAGGCAGACAGAGGGCCTCGTCTGACAGGCAGACAGAGGCCTCGTCTGACAGGCAAATCAGTGAGGCCGCCACGACGCAGTCAGTCAGGACGGGAGGAACGAGAACTGGTTTGCTGCATTACCACACAGTCGCCTGGATGGTCTCCCTCTCCCAGTCCCCAGTTCCCTCTCCTCCTCACTCTCACCCCTTCCCTCTCCTCCTCACTCTCTCCCCTTCCCTCTCCTCCTACCTGCCTCTCCCTCCTCAGAGCCAGGTCTTCCTTACATGGCCAACATTAACCGTGCCGGAGGATACACTTGCTTGACTCCTTTCTACCTGCTCCCCCACCCCACCACCTCTCCTTCCTCTCTCAGTTACCTCCCTGTGCCCTCACTTTCTGTTTTCTACCTGTTAGGTAATCTCTCGTCCAGCTCCGTGACCTAAATTGCCCCAGCTCTGTTTCCCCAGTTTCGGTCTCCAGTTGGGGACAGTGACAATTAAGGGCTTTCTAGTCAAACAATGTGTAGTTTCGTGTGTAGTTTCAATGTGTAGTTAGAATGTCCATTATTCCTCTGATTTTTATTGTGGCCGCCAGAGGCGGGTAGTTTATTGTGCACCCTATACTCATTCTGTGATTTCTTGTCCTGCTTTATCCTAGTTATACATTCGTAGAATTCTTCTTGGAATTGGCTTGACGTAATTTGTATTTTCTGAGATGATGTTAGTTTTTTGTGTTCCAGGTTAGCATCAACTATCTCTTCTACTCTTTCATTGAAGAGTCTCCTGGCATCCCTACTGCTTATCTATCTTATCATCTCTGCCTTCTTGTGATACCCATAGTTCACATTAAACTTTTCTTGTCTCTTTACGTTGTTTGTCTTTCAAGATCTTGTACATTGCGATCATGTCTCAAACTTAGCAGGTCAATAGCTGTAGATGGTAAGTCAGACACAAAATATATGTTGTTGGGATTGTACACTGCCTCTCCATCTTCCCCCTCACTCTAATTTCTCCCCAGCGACACTGTTGTCAATAAGAGTGCCTTCTCTCCTGTGGCTACGGGCTCACCATAGTCCGTGCTACATGGACAATTCGTTTTGAGTAGCTAAATCTGAAACAACAACAACTCCTGTGGCCATTACGGGCTATTCATGCTCGTGTCACTTCTTGTGTGTGGCTTAATCTTCATTTATCTCTCTCTTACGGGCTCACCATAGCCCGTACTACATGTACACTTCGTTCTGAGTAGCTAAATCTAAAACAACAACATATCTCTCTCCCGTGTCCAGCGTGAGTGCATCAGTATCCACGTGGGTCAGGCCGGCGTGCAGATGGGCAACGCCTGCTGGGAGCTGTATTGCCTTGAGCATGGCATCCAGCCGGACGGGACCATGCCCTCGGACAAGTACGTCGGCGGCAGCGATGACTCCTTCAACACCTTCTTCAGCGAGACTGGCTCGGGGAAACACGTGCCCAGGGCGGTCTTCGTCGACCTGGAGCCGTCAGTAGTGGGTGAGTCGCTCAGCCCTCCACTCACTCTATTACGTGGCCTGGCTTGTCTATGTTGACCAGGCCACACACTTAGAAAGTGAAGGGACGACGACGTTTCGGTCCGTCCTGGACCATTCTCAAGTCGATTGTGATGATTGAAGGAGGAGAAGGCAGTAAATAGGCAGAAGAGAGGTACTGGTCAACTTATTTCAGCCACGTTATTGTGGTTCATCATCTGCATTGTTTTGATTATTTCTTGACATGTTTTTTATTTTTCGTTTCCAGGACCAGACGACAGGGCCAGTTCCTGCTCCTACATCCCATACATATGCGTCTGTCAAAAGCTACGGTTGATAGCTAATGATGTCATATTTTATTTTAATTAGGGTATGGCAAGTTAACTCTATCCTAGTGTCCGCAGAAGGTCTATAATCACGTTTGATAGGCTGGTCGGTATAATTAAACCATGTGTTATTTCAACCTCCGGATAAACCATATTTTGAATATTTGTAAATTCATCCTCTCCGAAAAAATGAAGACATTTCCTCGTAAGATTTAGCAAGACCAGGAAACATTTTCATAGACGGTAAATATCAGTATAGGCAGCCTACCCTAGTGTTGTGGGTAAATATATCACTGTCTAAGGTACTTGTTATATCGTTTCGCTCCTGATCTACCATAACCGAACCAAACCTATTACATTTTAATATTAATTTACCCATTGCATCCTAATATATACTTTATGGACCGTTTTTATGTTCACTTCAGACTACGATACAATTACAATGAAATTAAACAGTTTAGCAGCATATTGAAAAAAATAAAAACCGGTAGCTATTTACCGTGAGTTAAGTCGTTCTTTAATTGTTAACAAATTACAGAAGTCTATATTTTAACAATATTATCGCTGTTGATCTGCACAAATATGTAGAGAACGGGTGGTGTTTATTTGACAGAAAACGAAGCTGTGTTGCATTCCAAGATATACAATTCAATTTTATGATTTTCTTTTAACTTTGGTGTGGTTCCCGTTGTTGGGGACAGGAAGCCTGTACATAGTTTTATCAAATACCTCCTTAACCATTTACTGACCTTTCCCATCAAGGTCAATTATCAAGGAAAAGTGCCGACTATATAGCACTTGGAAAGGGTCAAGATAAGGATTTGGGATGAGACGGGGGGAAGGAATGGTGCCCAACCACTTGGGCTGGACGGTAGAGCGACGGTCTCGCTTCATTCAGGTTGGCGTTCAATCCCCGATAGTCCAATTGGTTGGGGACCATTCCTTCCCTCCGTCCCATTCCAAGTCCTTATTCTGATTCTTTCCAAGTGTTATATAGTCGTAATGGCTTGGCGCTTTTCCTTGATAATTCCCCTCCCTCCCTCCCCAGGATGTAGCCTACAACATTTGTCTAATTCTCGAGTACTGGTTTAGTGTTAAGTGAACAGAAGCATAAGTTGAACGGAAACATGCCCTTGTGGCGTGGTGATTAGCGATCGGGTCACACTCAAGTCCTGGGTTCAGTTCCCGAAGCCTCAGGCATGTATACATCGAGAGGTGCACCGTACCCAGCTTCTCAGTGTGTAAACTCAAGGTTTACTTTGGTAAGGAACTATGTTCAGGACGAAAGTATACTGGCTAGGCCATGAAGGAATTGTGGTGGCGTTAGTAACCCTCTAGAAATTGATAATGTAGCCCACCTTCAAATCAGTCCCCGCGGTAGGATAGAAACATTTGGTCAAATTTCCTTTCACTTGATACCTCTGTTCTTTTAGCAGTAAACTCCCAGCAGTACCTGGGAGTTAAGCAACTGTTGTGTGCTGCATCCTAGCAAGGGTCAGTAGTTGATCTAGGGAGATCTTGATAAGCTGCCCTCACAACGGGCATTGAAATACTTAGCATAATTGTCTTCAAATATTGTTCTACTATTAACCCTACCTTTGAATTGAACTCCTTGGGGAAGGGGTGGTGCCTCACTACGATATGAACTGCGTGTTATAACCTTGGCCTCTCCCGGTGCAGACGAGGTCCGGATCGGGGTATACCGGTACCTCTTCCACCCGGAACAGCTCATCACGGGCAAGGAGGACGCCGCCAACAACTACGCCCGCGGACACTACACCATCGGCAAGGAGATCGTCGACCTGGTGTTGGACCGCGTCCGCAAGCTGGCCGACCAGTGTACTGGGCTACAGGTGAGGGAAAGATTGAAAGTTTCCAGTGAGTGAGTGTAAATCAAGAAATAAAACTTGTAACAACATATAAGTTGTTTCATAATTCTTAAATTTTTACTTTTGCTTAGGCTTGCAAACTTGATCCATCTGTCATACAGTCGTGGAAAGAGATACAGCTATTAATCTGAGATACTCTGTATTTACCTCACAGTGTCTACGAGTAAGTGAGGTCTAGCTCTTTATGTCCCGCCTGCTAGCCTTGTTGAACCTATTGCGTTATATATTAACTTTTCTAACATTCGAATACTTTGTCAAACAAATGTGTGTTTTCTCACCTGTAGATATTTTCAGGTTATCATCTCCAGGTCCTGGGCTCCGACCTCAGCATTGTATGTAACTTAATGCACATCAAACACCATGTATGTATAATACGTCCAATTCGGCAGGGTTTTCTCATCTTCCACTCGTTCGGTGGTGGCACGGGCTCTGGCTTCACCTCCCTGCTCATGGAGAGGCTGTCGGTCGACTACGGCAAGAAGAGTAAACTGGAATTCGCCATATACCCGGCCCCGCAGGTCTGCCAACTGTAGTTACACTGATTTACACGTTTTTTATATATAACATGATGATACTGACATTAAAAAAATTACTTTTAATTCCATGGTGGTGGGGTTGTTAGGTAGGTGGCAGTATTTTCCATTTTCAAGGACATTACATTAGGCTGCAGTTACACTTTTCATATCTGTGTACATTGTCTGCGGTATGCTGTAATTATTTTTTATTTATGAAAAATTTATGTGTATGACATTAGCCACTACTGAAATCATCTAATTTCAATCTGCAATGCTGAACTTCCAATCGTATGATATAGGTTTGATAGCCTAGCGCGCCAGCCATCGTACTAGGCTATGCTCGTTTGCGTGTGTTTTTAATATTTCTGGGTTTTAAAACAAAATATATTATCTCTCCCGGTTTTGCTCTACCTAATCAGCCTAAAATTCCAGGGAAAAGAATTTATAATTAGGACATTAGCTTAAAAAGTTTGCTAATTTTCAAGTGGGGTAGATATTTATCAGCTTAACCATCTCTATTTAGACGTCTGATGGATCATATGGAGGTGTTACCAGTGATGAAGGCTTCATCATCATCTCTACTATAATATACTGTCTTACTGATTTAATTTTAAAATTATTTTTAATTTTTAATTTTGAATTTCATGCCTTGCATTCGGCTATTAAACTACCTCAGACTGTTTTTTTTTTCAATTTTAATATATATTTAACAAGTATACATTAATATATTTATAAATTTAAGGTTATAAATTATTTATTTTGTTTATTTCTGATCATTAGAAGCTTCAACGTAATTTTGTAAAGAATAATTTTCCCATGATTAATTAAGAACAGCGTAAGAACGAACCACATTTTGCAGTGTTCCAAAATCTGGTTATAATCTATCGTGTATCGTGAACAGGTGGCAACAGCTGTGGTCGAGCCCTACAACTCTATCCTGACAACTCACACCACACTGGAGCACTCCGACTGTGCCTTCATGGTGGACAACGAGGCTATCTATGACATCTGCCGCAGGAACCTTGACATTGAGCGGCCTACCTACACCAACCTTAACCGCCTTATCGGCCAGATTGTCTCCTCCATTACCGCATCCCTCAGGTTCGACGGCGCCCTCAATGTCGATCTAACCGAGTTCCAGACTAACTTAGTGCCATACCCCCGTATCCACTTTCCTCTTGTGACCTACGCTCCGGTCATCTCCGCCGAGAAGGCCTACCACGAGCAGCTGTCTGTAGCTGAGATCACCAACGCCTGCTTCGAGCCCGCCAATCAGATGGTGAAGTGTGACCCCCGCCATGGCAAGTACATGGCCTGTTGTCTCCTCTTCCGTGGGGACGTGGTGCCCAAAGACGTCAACGCTGCCATCGCTTCCATCAAAACCAAACGTACCATCCAGTTCGTGGACTGGTGCCCCACAGGCTTCAAGGTGGGCATCAACTACCAGCCTCCCACTGTAGTGCCCGGCGGGGACCTGGCCAAGGTGTCACGTGCTGTCTGTATGCTCTCCAACACCACCGCCATCGCTGAGGCTTGGGCTCGCCTCGACCACAAGTTCGACTTGATGTATGCCAAGCGAGCCTTTGTCCACTGGTACGTCGGGGAAGGCATGGAAGAGGGCGAGTTTACTGAGGCCCGTGAGGACCTGGCCGCCCTTGAGAAGGACTATGAAGAGGTCGGCATGGACTCTGCCGAGGAAGAGGTCGACGAGAATGAATATTAAACTCAGGAAGAACAGCACGTGAAATGCGACCGCCATCACATCATTTCCTATACCTGAACTTCAAGAGCACCTTGACCCTGACCCAAAAGCCTGAGGATGAGAGAAGGAGATAATAGCTGTTGTGTTCGCTGTTGGTGGCCTCGACGCTTCACCGCTCAACTACAAAAGCCTTCAATAACTTTTGTGATCAAATTATTAAAAATAGTCGCAATCTGTTGCTCAGTAAATGTTGCTGCTACGGCAACATCTCACTGATATATGTGTGAACCTTTCTTCCAATAAAAGTTGTGACGTAAACGTTCCTTATGATAGCAGAGAATGCACATTGTCTAAGAGACAGACCAGTACGGTAAGAAATACCCATATGTTCACAAATACGGTGTTTTAGGTTTCATGAGGCTTTTCCCGCATATCTACGCTACTTTTCGAACATTTAAACAGATAAACCAACACCAGATCTGAGTTCAAAGGGGTAATGGAACTCTACGTTTTAAATAGTTTCCAATGGTGTTATTGTTAGTAAACTTGTGGGTATGTCGAAGAATATTCCTAAGATCTTTCCAAATATAATGAATTATAGTACCTAAATATGGAAATTTGACAATACTGTATGTCCTTGGAGACTGAGAATCTCAATAGTAAATTTAAATTTGAATTCTATAAAATATCTTGCTAGGAATCTTATTTTCTTACGTTTTTATATATAACTCTACATATAAATATAACAGAAAGACTATATTAATTTATATTTGAAAAAGTACCGTTTTTTATGAATGAGGTCGAATGCACCTCTGGGGGGACACCTGCAGCTAGAACGAGCGTGGCTTTAGGATTTGTTGAATTATAAGACATTAATGTTTGTCTTTGCTTTCGAATTTATATTTTAAAGATTATTATTTCAAAATACAACATTCATTTCTGCCTTTCTGATAATTGGAAACTCGATAATTTAAAACACAAACTTGCTCAGTAAGGGAGGTAAACAAAGGAGCATTTGACGTCAAAACTTATAAAGTTGCGCATTATCAACAAGTCAAATTACAATCTTATTCCACATTTAAAATAGCTGTACTATATTGTTAAATAATTTAGTATATAATGATAAACAAGATAACTTGTTCTCAAAATGTAGAGACTATAATGACATCAATGTCGAGGCTTGTGTAGACTTGAATGTGAGTGGACGGAAGGCAGTGCTCTTGTGTGCATTGTTTCGTGACCTCATTCGCTCGTTAAAAGCCAGTAACACAGCAGGTCAAGTGCCAGATGGTGTGCGCGGCAGCTCTCTGCGTCTGGTAAGTGATATTGCAGTCTGTGGTGGCGAGTGGTATCAGAAATATACACGCGTTTGTTGAGCCGAGTTCCATTACTTTGTCTCTAATTAGATTTTTCATCATCTGCTTAAAATCTGAATAAATTGTAATGTGTTACTTTGTGTAACATTTCTGATGGTGTCATTTATTTACGTAAGGATAATTTCGACACAGATACTTTAGATACACAGATACTATTGGACATAGATAAGGACTATAATAAACTGGAATACGACCAAGTCGTATTTTCACCGGGAATACGACCCGCCAAATCGTTTAACAACCTACATGGTGTAAATACCTCTTCACCCATTCACTGCTGGGTGAACAGAGGTGAACAGTTAAGGATTGGCGCCCAGTCAATCCTCCCAGGACCCACTCGTGAAGTGCGGGGCAAGTGTCTTACGACTGCACCACAGTTACTGCATAATATATCCTATCTTTAGCCCCCGTCTGATCCTGGATATATGGAGCTCCTAACCCCCCCCCCCCCACCAGATCCCGGATGAATACTGTTCTTGACCAACACCAGATCATGGATATATCCTATCTTTCCAAAAGGAAAACCTCCTCCATTGGATTCCATTATTCTCGTAACGAAATTGTCTAACCCCAAATCTCTCAACACACATGGTTTTTGTTTACACTGGTCCGTTTTCTGTAATTTTTACAGGTATAACTAATGAAAATGTGCCACACATTTTCTGAGAGAAAAAAGGGGTATTCACCTTGTTGTGTTCGCGGGGGTTGAGCTTTGCTCTTTCGGCCCGCCTCTCAACTGTCAATCAACTGTTTACTAACTACTTTTTTCACCCTAGGAAGCAGCCCGTGACAGCTGACTAACTCCCAGGTACCTATTTACTACAAGGTAACAGGAGCATTCAGGGTGAATGAAACTTTGTCCATTTGTTTCTGCCTGGGGCGGGAATCGAGCCCGCGCCACAGAATTACGAGTCCTGCGCGCTATCCACTAGGCCACCAGGCCCTAGGTGTCGTTTTATCCAAACTCATGCGGGAACACCATATAAAAAATGAATAACGAAGTGAAGAATTACATTAGAATATAGGCAACGTTGCAAGGACTTTCGTGGGTGGGTTTCCATTTTGATCTCCTATTTCTAAATATATAATTGTAGTGAGGCTTCAGTGGTAAAGGTCTGAATGCAACATACGGAAAATATATATAAGCTCTAATGATAATGGCATATCAAAGTTAGAAAGCAAATGATATATATATATATATATATATATATATATATATATATATATATATATATATATGTCGTACCTAGTAGCCAGAACTCACTTCTCAGCCTACTATTCAAGGCCCGATTT